ACCTATATATTGTGCTTTTATTATTGTGGGGATTTCAACTTAGCACCTGGCTCAATGTTACTGTTAATGCATTAATTATTCTGTTTTAATTGCGCTGTTTTCGCTGACAAGTAAAATATGTTAAATTAATAATAAACAATATAATTGTTTTCTTGACAAATTTGTGAAATTAAAACATCATGCTCAAAATATGAGAATAGTGAAATAGCAGTGAAAATAAATGGTTTTACAGTATTTGTACAAATCTAAATTTGTACTAGAGTGATGTATAGGAAGTCAGTGATCCTATGTAAACAGTGTGTTAGGCTGTGCCTTTCATTTAAATTATACCCTATTACTGTGGCTTTCAATTGTTAACAAGATCAGTACACCAACTGTGAACAGAGTAAATCTGATACCTAACAAGTAATGAACCCATTATTCAAATTAGGTACAGTCTCATTATATTGCTTAAATTGGGTTGCTAGTCAAGTTAACTGCATGGTGTACACATGCTGCATACTATTGGTACAATAGAAACACATAATTTTGATTCTTCTTTCCCCAAGGATATTTTTTAATTATTCTTAGGGGGGCAGACATCCAGGCATTTTTACCAACTGGTAACCATCCCGGTGAAAACAAAGGCTGTAATCTCTCAGAGGAAAATGTACTTTATGATAGTTGTTGCGAATCCCCTGAAAAATTTTAAAAGATTACTTCTACATGTACAGCTTGTATAAAATCAGTTGCTCAGGATTACATCAAAGTTGAGTTTGTGCTGTTTTAACTGGCTCTTCGACTGACGTTCCACAGCAGCTCACATGAGCCCATAAAAATACCATGGTTTGCATCTTAGCAACTGTTTTGTGACCTAGCCTCCGCCCAAGAATATGGCTCATTTTTTCGGAAGACAAATTTCATGAGTCTGAAAAAGCTTTGAAATTCTGTAGCTATGACCAAGCATATCATTGAGGTTGGAATAAAAGGAAGTGTCATATAAATCACCATGACAACTAAAATTAGCAGGTTTGAAAAATAAGTGTGCCACCTCAAGCCATTAGCAGAATCTATGTGTCTGGACTACTGTAAATGACTTATTTTCACTGGGTTTAAATTTCGATGATTTACCTCTTCAGGCATATTCAGTGGGTTTTAAATTCACGATTTTATCATTTAGGTAATGTGTTCTATGCTAAATTTTACATATTCACTGGGTTTTAATTTAGTGCATTTTCCAGTTGGCGAAATAAGCAAAATTAAAACCTGGTGAATAATTACCCCTTTTACAATATTTCCCAGCATGCCTCTGTCCTCCACACTGGTGCTGTTGCATATACCATTTAGCTGTGTTTGTCAGGTTACCCAACTCCAAAACCTAAAATGCTTCACCCATAAGAATCCAGGAATAAATGTATGACCCCATTAATAAAAACTGGCAGATTTACATATCAATACTTCAACATGTTGCTAGTAGTAGTTGTCCGGAGTCTTTCCTTAGTAGACTGTAGTTTATTTCCCTGTGTGTGAAACCATACCAGATGACTGCAGGATAATTAGTGTAAAATACTTTATTTTCGCTGAAGGAATGATTCAGTGAAAATAAAATCCAGTGAATATACCTTTTTTCCAATATTTCACATTCAACTCGTCAAAAATCAGTGAAAATAAATTCCATACAAAACACCAAAAAGTCTTTTTATTGAAAAAATTAATTCCTGCTATAAAATAAAGTATTCTACAGTAGTCATTGATCCTTGTTCTTAATTAGCCATCTACTATTCTTAAAGCGAGAAAGTCGTCACCTACACATGCATCAGATGGCCATAGCGTGTCATTGTTTACAAACGAGCGTCTACCCATGAGCTTTTGCGTTCTTAGCGTGTGTTGTTAACATCGCTTGGGACTCGATTCCCACGTGTGCGCAGGTGATGACCCTCCCGCTTTAATACTTTGGGTGAAAGAATACAATTTAGTTGCCTGCTTTCTTGATTGAGCCTTGTCATCAAATTCCACAAGCACATGTGGACCAGTCTATTCCTTAATCTGTGTTGGTATCACTGAAATCTACTGCCTGACCACAGGGCACACACATGGACCACCTACATGTAGTATTGCATCATTAGTGCAACTCAACTCACCACCAAGGGGTAAACAAAAACATTCTAACCTTGCAGTAGTAAAACACAGTTATCTAAATCAAAACATCTCAAGGCTCTGATAACTTTTATAATGGTTTGACAAACAATGTGAACTATTCATGTTAGTGAACTATTCATCAATGCAATGGTAGCTAAATAAATTAATGCTGTTAATTAGGTCCTGAAGGTTAGGTTATTCTAATGGTATGAACTCAGAATGATAAAAGTATAACGCACATAACATATACCGTAAAATCTGTATTAGAACCTGCATTTC